ATTATCAAATATTTAAATTTTGAATTTTGAATTTGAAATTCGAATTTGAATTTTGAAATTCGAATTTTGAATTTGAAATTTGAAATTTTATATTTTATATTTGAATTTTGAATTTGAATTTTGAATTTTGAATTTGAAATTTGAATTTGAAATTTGAATTTAAATGTTTGAAAATTTGAATTTAAATGTTTGAATTCGAATTTGAATTGTCTATGAAAAGTTGTTTCATAACAAAAGGATAAGATGAGATCTTGTTGGAACAAATTCCTTGTATCAAGAGAAGATCTATGGAGATCTCCAAAGGCTGATTTGGGGCGCCACTTTGGTTGGAGATGAGTGTCATCTTTTTCAAACAAACAAGCTCCAATCAGATTTGGTTGTTGAGAGAATCAGTGAGCTAGTTGGTTCAAACTTGAATGCAACAGCTCAAAGTATCTGGACCCCTTTTGGGGCTGAATGGGGCGCATGAATAGGATGGTCATATGATGACCATTAGTTCAGAATCTTGACTAGATAGAGACCTAGTCTCATGAGGATTCAAAGGTAGGTTGTTGGGAATTTTGAATTGCAACAACTCCACCTTTTTCTCCTCTCTTGTGCGCCACTTTCACTGGTTTTTTAAGTGAAAATTCTGATTTGATTTCTCTAACTCTCTCACTCTCTTGTGCGCATACTAGGGGTAAGTTCTCCTTAAGGTTTTCAGAAAAAGACCTAGCCAATTCTACTCCAATCCATTCCCACTCTTGTAAAGTTTTCATGCTGAAGACTTCACTCTTCTAAACACATTTACCTAGCCTCCTTCTTCACCTATTGAGCGCACAACAAGCCTCTTTGTGGTGGTCAATTGGTGGCTTGACAAGAAGAGTTCTTGCATCTGACATGGGTGGTGTGGATCAATGTTAGAGGGTTTGAACCCTTCAAACCTAACACTGATCGTCTTGGAGTTTTGAACTCACAAACAAAGGTAACATCATACTGTCATAAAGCATGATTCTTGATTGCATGTGTGATTCCACATAAGAAAAATTTTATTTTTCCCTCTCACATGCTACGGCCTTCAAGGCCAGTTACTTTCAGGGTTGGTTGTTGTTGGAGCTACGTTCGCCCCAGCCCCCCTATCTCGACGCGTTGGAGTTGAAGCGGTATCTGAGACATCGTCTTCGACCTGGACGTGGTCGTTATCCACGTTATTTCCAATCTGGTTCGGAGGCTGCTTTACCTCTTCCAGGACTGGATCCAATGGTTGATTCCGGTTCGGGGGTGGCTGCTGGCTACTGCTCCTCGTCTGAATTGCCATTCCTTCTCAGATTTGGTGGGAACTTCAAATTCAAAGAAGAAAGTTCCCACAGACGGCGCCAATGTTTTGTCCTTGAGACAGAGATGTCTAGCCCAATAGGCTAGTATGTTAATCTTGGATCTGGTGCCCTCTCCAAGGTACCTATGGATGAGATACCCTTGAGTCAAGCAGATCACTGTGCATAGAATACTATAACGGCGTTAGCCAATAGGGTGTGTGTGTGCGCACAGTGACAGCATAACAGTAAGTGAGAGAACGTACATACCTTTAGGGTTTACCTTTGTATTTATAGAGGTTACCTGTAGGTAGTGTGGATGGGCCTTTGGTTCCTACAGTAAGGGTCCAAGCCTGATAGCTATGTTGTCGCATTAGGATTAGTATCCTTGATGGATATCTATCCTTTATTAGCATCAATCCATATCTTGAATTGCGCCTTGTTGGGCTTGCTACTTAATGGGCCCATTATACGGGTCCATAACAAATATCAAATCATAAAATGCTTTTGACCACGGGGAGGTAAAGTATAAAAACTATTAATAAACACAAATTTGATTATTTTAAAGTAAAAAAAAAATTAGAAGTATAGTTTTGGATTGAAAAAAATAGGCAAGTAGATTTTAACAAGTTTGTAAGACATTTTCATATGGGAAGAGATAAAAGTTGGTATCTACGCCCTTGCTCATTTCATTGAAATGTTGCCCATAGATAGGCTCAGAATTAGAAATTAAAAATAAATTTGAATTGGCGACAATTTGTAACCAACTTGTAAAATTGCAACTCCTAATAAAACGCAATTAGCTTCTATTAAATATAAATCACAATCAACTCCTATTCTTATTACATTAAATTCAAAATTCAAAATGCACAAATTTTATCTGCTCTAAATTGTATTAAATCCTAAATCAAAACATAATACTCTAAATTCAAAATATGTAATAGCAACATAACCTCCAGTACTCCTCCTCAAGTTGGAGCATGTAAATATGAAATGCCCAACTTGGGAAGGAAACCATGGAAGGCTAAGTGTCCAAGAGCCTTTGTGAACAAATTTGCCAGCTTAGACTGAGAACGAACATGCGTTGTAGCAATATGACTCGCGGAAATATGATCCCGAACAAAATGGCAGTCAAGCTCAATATGTTTAGTTTGCTTGTGAAAAACTGGATTAACAACAATGTGAAATGTTGCTTGATTATCACATAGGAGATCCATAGGACTAGAATGATTAACTCCAAGACTCAAGAGAAATCCTTTAAGCCAAATCAACTCTGAAGTAACCGCAACCATGGCCCTGTATTCGGCCTCTGCTGAAGAACGAGCCACAATGACTTGTTTCTTTGTTCTCCAAGATACAGGAGAGTGACCAAGCATGACAAAATAACCTGTAACAGACTGCCGTATAAGGGGACATAATGCTCAATCTAAATCATAATAACCATGTAACTTTAAATCACTAATAGAAGGCAGCAAAACACTATGCCCGTGACTCCTTTTTATGTAACGCAAAACATGAGTAACCGCATGAAAATGTGTCTCACATGGCGCCTGCATGAACTATGATAAAACATGAACCACATAGCTCAAATCAGGCCTGGTGATGGTCAAGTATATAAGTTTACCAATAAGCCGTCGATAACGTTCTGGTTGGTCAAATAAGGGTCCATCATCAAGAGCTAACCTATGGTTTTGTTCCATGGGAGTAATTGCTGGTTTGCTCCCACTCAAGCCTACCTCAGTGAGAATGCTTAATGCGTACTTTCATTGACACAAGAAAATACCCTCTTGACTCCGGGCAACCTCTATTCCTAGAAAATACTTCAGTGGTCCTAGATCCTTGATCTTGAAGCAAGTGTAAGATAATTTTTCACCTGCATACAAGCTGCGGTATTATTCCCAGCTAAGATTATGCCATCCACATAAACCAAAAAAGCTAAGAATACATCACAACGAGAAAATGAAAACAATTTAAAATCAGCCTTGGATTGTTCAAATCCATATTCGAGCAACGAAGAACGAAACTTAAAAAACCAATTGCGCGGTGATTGCTATAAACCATATAACGACTTCTGAAGATGACACACCTGATGAGAAGAACCAGTGGATGGCCGAAAACCTGGAGGAAAACGCGTATAGACTTTTTCCTCCAAATCTCCATTTAAAAATGCATTGTGTACATCTAACTGATGCACCTCCCATTTCTTTGCAGATGCAACAGCAAGCAACGTTCGCACACTAACCATTTTGGCAACGGGTGCAAACGTTTCACCATAATATTCTCCTTCAACCTATCTATTTCCTGCAATAACAAGATGAGCCTTGTATAGCTCGATCGAACCATCTGCATTATATTTTATTTTGAAAACCCATTTACTGGGCAAGGCATGCTTTCCTAGAGGAAGGTTTGTGATATGCCATGTATTGATTTCCTCAAGTACTAAGATCTCCTTTCTTATTGCATCAATCCACTTGGTATCCGTCATTGGTTCATGAAAATTTGTTGGCTCATATCCTATATCAACAGTGGCTAAAAATGCTCGATGTTTAATGCTCAATGTTTAGGAGAAAATTTGTTGGCTTAGTTCCGTATTAGTTTGTAAATACCAACAAAGAGCAATTTTGAAACTAATTTATAGGATACAAAGGTTAAAAACTACTTTGGTTTTGAACTAGTTCCAAATTGTTTTGAAAAATTGATTTTGAATTGTTTTCCAAAATAGAACCAAACCGAAAAAACTAATTCAGTTTTGTACAATTACAAAACCAATTTGGTTTTGAACCATACCCACCCCTAAATTCATAGCTAAAAGTGGGCTGCAATATCACATTTATCCTTTACCCTAATAATTCATCTTAATAATAAATTATTTTATTTCCCCTCCTTCAAAACCATAATAACAACTTTATATTTTAATTTTAGTTTTTAAGCTATTTTTTAAAAAATTTAACTTAAAAGTAAGTTTTAGCATAAAAAATATGGGTAAAGTATTTCTCCAGTCACTCGAGATAAGTTATCTCCAGTGACCTCCAAAAATACGTCGTTTTGAATTAACGCAGGGTGTTTATGTAATTTTAAAAAAATTAATAAAAGGTCTTTTGATAAAACTCATATGATAAAAAATAAATAAAATTATGGAAACACGCTTCATTAATTCAAAACTACATAGTTTTGGGGGGTTTGACTTGGAGAAATATTTTACCCAAAAAAAAAGGGAAAAACAAGTATAATGTTGTAGGACAATTCTCTTGTCATGTTATAGAGACAATAAGTGTGGGGTCTACCATGTTTAAAATAAAAAGAAAAAGAAAGAAAATACAGCACAAATATCGATGTATGTATAGGAAACTTTGCATTTGTCATGGCACCTATATCGCAAATACAGCACAAATACATGCAACAAATACATGCAACATAACAAATGCAAAACCCAAAAAAATAAATATCAAACAGACTCTATATCAATCTACATGGCACCTGAAACATTAGCATTCCTACCTAATATCTTGTCTTTGTATACAACATGTGATTATACATATATAGCATAGAAGAGACGGTAAGTGTCTCCAATTCAAACAATATAAAAGGGTTGGGCTTTTAACTGGAAAGTGGGCCCAGTAAAAGCAGGCCAGGCTCAATGACAAATGTTAAAAAGCAGTTACAGATTGGAGTAGAGAGCGGAATATAATTTAAGGTGAATGGCATGGATAATGGTAACCTCAAACTTAAGCAGATATACCAGAGTCAGCTGGAGTCATTTCCCTCGATATTCTCTCACTCTTCCTTCTTATAATTATTCATCTTTCACTTCAACGCTCAACACAACAACTCCCATTTCTGTTTTCCTCAACGCGTAACTACTTCTTGTACTACTGTACTCTTTTTCGGCAGTGCATTCTCCATTAGAATGAAGCAACGATTCTATTATATTTATTTTATTTATTTATTTATTTCAATGTAATCTGCAGCAAAAGATTATCATCCGTTTCAGCCATGGATAAGGAATTCCCGTTGGGATTAGATGAAGTTTCGGAGAAGGAATATGCAACTCAATCTAACTTACTTAACGAATTCACCAGCATCTCTAACATCGACAAGGCGTGGGTTTTTAAATCTGACACTGATCTCACTGGTAACTCTTAAATTCATTCGTACTTGTTTGCTGCTTCAAGTAACTTAGTTGTTGTTCCGTTGTTGATTGATTATGTTATTATTTTTCATGTTCAGCTTCTCAGGGAATGTTCTGTGTTAGTCAACCGAACCTTTTGGCCAACAAGAGAAGGAAATTCGTTCTGTCGTCTAACATTTCGAAGCAAAGTAATGATTCTGTAACATTTGAGTGGTCTCCATTTCCGTTTGAGATGTCTGGGGTTTCTGTTATGGTTCCCTCGCCTTCTGGCTCCAAACTTCTAATTGTTCGAAATCCCGAGAATGAAGGTCCTTCCCGCTTTGAAATATGGAGTTCCTCTTACCTCCTAAGGGAGTTCCATATCCCCCAATCCAAACATGGTTCAGTGTACACTGATGGATGGTAAATTCTCATATGTCATTCATTATTTGTATTTGAGAGGATCTCATTGGTCCAAATGCGTGATGGGAGAATACATTAAAATAAAAAACCATTCCCCATTAAACCCCGACTAGAGAATTGGAGGTGAGGACAATCATTGTATGTAGCCTTACGTTGCATATTTGCAAAAGAGATTGTTCTCTGGATTCGAACCCGTGATCTTTTAGTCACAGAGGAGCAGTAGGCTTGCCCTCTTTGAGAATACATTAAAATAAAGGATGCAAAAAATGATGGGAAATATGAGTGTCATGTTATGTGTCATGTCACATACACAAAAATATGTGGATTCCACTGAAAAAAATTAAAAAAAAAATCATAATGATGTGAGTCTCACCTTTATGTGTCTATAGCATGACACAAGATGTGTCATGTAACATAACACTCATATTTCCCAAAAATGATAGCAGTTAATTTGTATTTGAACTGCTGAGATCCTCTCACATGACCTCATGCCAAGTGAGGTGGTACCTTGACACTCATGCTTTTGTATTAAAATTGAAATGCTGGTGTGTTGTTGTATGATATTAATTTGTATTTGAACTATTGAGATCCTCTCACATGACCTCATGCTACGTGAGGTGGTACTTTGACACTCGTACTTTTGTATTAAAATTGAAATGTTGGTGTGTTGTTGTATGATATTATAGGTTTGAGGGAATCTCTTGGAACTCGGATGAAACTCACATAGCATATGTAGCTGAAGAGCCATCCCCTGTGAAGCCTGCATTCAATGATGTCGGCGGCTATAAGAAAGGTGGTTCTTCAGATAAGGATTGTGGTACCTGGAAAGGTCAAGGGGATTGGAAGGAAGAATGGGGAGAAACATATGCTGGAAAGAGGCAGCCTGCGCTTTTCGTCATAAACATCACTAGGTTTTTTTTTGTATAATTTTTATTTAATGCAATAATAATAAATGGTTATGTTCTTAGGTAGAAAATCCTAATTACAATAGTTTTTTTACAGTGGAGAGGTACAAGCCGTCAAAGGAATTGACAAATCTTTGAGTGTTGGACAAGTTGTGTGGGCTCCATCAACTGAAGGATCTTCACAATATTTGGTTTTTGTTGGATGGTCATTTGAGACAAGAAAACTTGGTATGAAGTATTGCTATAACAGGCCCTGTGCATTATATGCTGTTAAAGCACCACACCATGAGTCAAAAGCTAATGAGACTGAGGTTCAGTAAGTCACTTCAGTTTTAATTTCTTTTTTAAAGTGAGTATATATATATATATATATATATATATATATATATATATATATATATATTGGTTAAGTTTGGTTATGCTAAGCTGAATTATGAAGGTGTGCTGATGTAGTTCAACAGAAGATGTTCTGGCTCTTAACCTGACTCAAACTATAAATAGCGCTTTCTTTCCAAGGTTCAGGTAAGCTGGTACTCACTTTCCCCATACACATTTGAGTTAGCCTTTTTCTTAGCTCTGTTTATTTCATATGCTGTTCTTGACGACAAGATGATAGAAAACTTTGCTAATGATTAAGGTAAGAGGTTACCAGCTTCAGGTGATTGATTTTTATGGATATCAATCTCCAGATTCAGAGAGCAGTACCAGGCACTCAGCATTGAGAGTGAGGTGGATGGGGGCTAAAATAGAACTAAGAACTTTTTCCATATAATGATTTTCATTTTAACAACTTATTTGTTTTTGTTGTTTTTTATCTTTTCTAAAAGGCTTTATAAACTATTGTCCAATATTTGGGGAATATGAAAAATAATCTTTCGGACCTATATTCCCTGAAACAAAACCTAGTTTCCCATTATCAGTTTTTCTTGAATAGGGTGTGAGAAAACTCATGCTGATTAAAAGGTATCTGAAATTATTCCAAACTTTCTCCTGAGTAAGTTAAACACATTATCAGTGTTAGTCACAGGAAACGTGTTCATCCTTTCCTAGAAATTAAAGCAATGACTTATTAGTAACAACTAACAAGTATATAAATTTGATTTCTACCACCTTGATTCCTATACATGAACTTTCTACCAGCCCAGATGGAAAGTTTCTTGTATTTTTATCTGCAAGAACTTCAGTTGATTCTGGAGCCCACTCTGCTACAAATTCACTTCATAGAATGGATTGGCCTAGGGATACGAAGCTTTATCAATCTGCAAAAGTTCATCATGTGGTATGTTTTCTTTCTTTCTTTTTTTTTTTTTTTTTTTTTTTTCAATGATCAGTTTAATTTTAATCTCAACAAATGATTGCCATTGAGGTTTATGATCTATTGTTGCTCTTGATTTTTTTATATGCTCATATTTAATTAGGAGCATGAGCTTCTTCGCTATCATATGCTTAAGAACATGACTTGGAAAATTTAAAATGGTGTGTTATGTATGTTTAGGGTTTTACATGTGATAATTTTATTTTTATAATGTGCCTTGATTGTAAAGCTTTTTCTATAATGGCTGAATGACGGTTTGGTCTAGTAGAAAATGTACCCACAGCCATCATAGTTTCCTCTTATATTTTACAATTTGTTTCAGTATCTTCACTGAGAGAACAGAAGTTTTCCAAAGGATGCTCCGTGAGTGTGTATTCAATAACAATAACTTCAATTTTCTTTCTTATCTTGTTTTTGTTTCTGAATCCTGGTTTCAATTTTCATGGAAGATATTGAATTAGATATGCATTTTACTTAATCTAATGTTTAATATCAATTTCACGAGGCTGTTTTTACCGGCCTCAAGGAATTCTAGCTGTTAGCAATGTTTAAAAACCTAAACACTAGTTGGCTTGGAGAGATGCTTTTTCAGCTTCTCATATAGCTAAAGCAGCTTCAAGATCAAACCTGTTACCTGTGAACTCATTTGTATTTTGTAATAAGATATTTTCCAAATTAGCTTTAAATTAAGCATGGAAGTTTTTCTTTTGTTTTTATATGCTACAGGATTAGTGCCTTTTTTTTCCTGAACTTCCTAATACAAATTGTTGTATTTTTTTGTATAAACTTTTTAAGATTCCAGTTGTGTTGTGTGCTGAGGATGGCGGCTTCCCTGGGCTTTACTGTCCAAGTGTCCTTAGTGATCCATGGCTTTCTGATGGCTACACTTTGATTATAGCCTCTGTCTGGCACAGCAGTCAAGCTTTACTTTCTGTCAATGTATTGAGGTAACTATGACTGTAGGAATGCATTTTTGCTATGTTTGTGCAACTGCAAACCTTTATGCAAATCATTATAATCAACTCCATACATTTTCATCAAATATAGTGGAGAAATATTACGTATCACCCCTGCCGACTCAAATTTCTCGTGGAGTCTCCTTACGTTGGATGGGAACAATATTCTTGCTGGTAACTTAGATGCTCAGTTTATCTTTGTCCTGGACTACTGGAGTGAAAACACATTGTATGTTTTTTAACTTGTTCAACTTTTCGCAGTTTCAAGCAGTCCAGTAGATGTTCCTCAAATCAAGTATGGAATCATTGTTAAGAAGGCAGCTGATAATAATGAATGGAGTTGGTCAGATGTATCAAATCCTATATTTAAATGCTCTGACAAGGTTTTGGTTAACTTTCTTTTTAGAATATTTGTATGGATAATTTTTGCAAACAAAAATAATCCTATGTGCTAAAAGTGTTCCATTGGAGTTTGGCTACAGGTTAGATCTTTGATGTCCTCTCTTATGTTCAGTGTAATGAAGATCTCAGTCAAGGATGCTTCTGAAAGTTTAACAAAAGGTATTTGGCTATGCACAGATTTATCTTAATGTAATTCTTATGCTCTGATTACGACAAACTGCTGGAGTAAACAAATGATGGCATTATGTGGTGATATTTCTGCAACTGAACCAATTAACCACTCAAGGAAGAACAAAGGAATAGAAGAGAACGAGATACTACCAGCAAACAACACAATCTTTATTACCAACAAACTAATCCTATTACAATCACAAACTGATCTTTTATATATGATAAGCATCATGCTAACTCAGCTAACATCCTGATAACGTAATTATTCCCACCCCATGTAACTTCTACCTTTTACGATGGTGGATTACATGATTTAACAATCTCATGTAACATTTTGTGACATTCAATACAAAGGAAAATACATTTGCACAATGCTAGTAGAAACCCCACAAAATAATGTTTATTTGGTATCTACTGTTGTGTAGTATGGTATATAAGAAATGTTATTCATTATTTTGCCCCTTCATACTGCTCTCCATCAAAAGCTTAAGCAAAAAAAGTTTCAGATTGTTGCATGAAGATAATAACTTTAAGCTCTAAATAAAAGGACAAGTATAAAGGTGCTGAAATGGAAATTTAGAAAAGTTAAATTATAAGAGGGAAAACAATAGAAGTTGAAGAACGAGAAACTTGAATAGAACTTTATGGAATGCATTGCAGGGTTAAATAGGACTAAACTTCAAGGAAAAAAAAGAAAAAAACATTTTATAATTATTTGTTATGTCATTTGATGAGCTGGATGATCTCGATCATACTTGATGCTATAAAATTTGTGGCTGAGTTAAGGTGTTGAAAAAAATAAAAATCTAACAAGAAGTCAAAAATATTTTATTTGCTTACCCGTTGATTGTACAATGCAAGGTTATACTCAATTTTTTCTTGAGGAATTGGATTTCATTTCTGATTTTTTATTATTATTTTTTTTTAATTTCAACTTTAATTTCAGGTGCTAGTAAACCTTTTGAAGCTATATTTGTGTCATCAAAAACTAAGAAAAGTGATGCATGTGATCCACTAATTGTGGTCCTTCATGGGGGTCCACACTCTGTCTCATTGTCAAGCTTTTCAAAGCCATTGGCTTTTCTTTCTTCACTTGGATATAGCTTGTTGATGGTAAACTACAGGTAAATGATATCCCCCTTGGTGGCCAAGCATTTATTTAAGGTCAGACATTTTAAATTTATCATAAGTTTGATGTGTTCCACCATATTCCTGTTGATTCTTTCAAGAGGTGGATTCTTATTCTCACACTAATGCTTATGCAGATAAGTTCTAGGAGATTGTAGTGATTCTGATTCTGAGCTTGCACCACTCCTAACACATATATCAGGGGAAAAAGCCTTATGTGACCTACAAACCTGCAAGACATCATCAGTAATCACTAATTAATATTAATTCTGTTAAGCACTACAGTCCAAATAAAAGACTTGACTTTGGAGGGAGCTTTGGACTTCAAAAAGAGTTTATCAAGATAGAAGGTAGCTCTATTCAACAAAGTAAGTTAGAAATTGGATTTGCACGAGAACATCATAGGAGAATCTAGAAACCTAATCCTTTTATTTGGGCTGAAGGACAAAAGATTAAAGTGAAGGAGACCAAAAGGAGACTAAAATTCCCTATCATTTAAGTTAATGAGGTCCAAAGGAAATCTTCATAGCCATTTTCCTCCAAAGAGCTATTCTCTAAGAAATCAAATTACCAAGACCCAAACCCTCATCCTTCTTAGGAATAGGAAATGTTTGAAACAAGAAAGTCCTTTGAAAAACAACAAGCACACACAGAACGAGAGGAAATAAATGAAGAATGAGAAGGACAAAAGAGAGAGAACTAGGAACCTTGGCAAAATATTCAGACAAAAGTCAACTGTACTTTTCATGTTCAACGAATGCAGTTCAGAGCTTAATTATTTTGTTCTTATTCTTTGAAATCTAAAAAATCCTACCCATAATGTGGGGCAGCTGTAGAAATTTGTCTCTGAATATTAAATGTAGGACTTTAGAGATCAAACTCGATGTTCGGGTTTTGGCATTGTGTGAAAAGGAAATACAGCTTCTATGATGATTTTGATATAGGAAAAAGTTATTTTTAAACTTCTAATCTCTGTCAAAAAGCCCAAGTCAAGGCATGAAATACTCTGGTTCATGTGTCTATGACTTATAGGATGCAACAAAGAAACTCAAGCCTTTATTGTATTTTTCTTAGATCCACGAAACTTCACCTTTGGGGGATCCTTTATATTTAACATTTCTCTTTCTTTGCACTAGACCATTTATTGTTGCATAAGCCTTTTAAGCATCATATCCTCCCCAATAAAATGGTGTGTAAGTGTTGAGATTATAGGGTTTTGGTAGAAAAGAGGATAAGAGATAGAAAGGATACTCTTAATAATAATATTAGCTTGATATGGTTTGATTCAATACCCTAGCCTGTTGCTTCTATTTATTCTAATAATTAGGTCAAGTATTAGTTCTACTGGTATAAACCCAAGCCCACTAACAATGAGACTGACCCTAATGCTTTAACTGTAAGTTCACTATATATTATATGCTAAATGCTTTTATTTAAAAAAGAATGTTATTGCCAACACCAGTATGAGATAGCTAGTATGATCCCGAATGGCAAGAAGCCTCTTTCGATATCCAATTATATGTCTAGTAGTATTCCTTTTCCAAGCTTCTTACATGATGATATTTCTCAGAGGCTCACTGGGATTTGGTGAGGAAGCCTTACAATCTCTTCCGGGGAAAGTTGGATCTCAGGTACCTAGTGGTTATTTTCTAATTTCTAAAATCTTAGGTTGAGTGTTATCTGACAGCAGCTTCAGCTTTTCTTTGTAAGCAAGTTCCAAAATTATTATCATATCACGGCCTTATTTTTTGTTGAGGTTGGATCTTGATCTTAGTTTGGCATATGCAGGATGTCAATGACGTACTCAATGCTATTGATCATGTCATTAACTTGGGACTTGCCAGTCCATCAAAGATTGCAGTGCTTGGTGGTTCACATGGTGGCTTTCTGACAACCCATTTGATTGGCCAGGTGCAATAAGTCCTCTTACTGTGACTTCTTCTTATATGTAACTTTCTATAGATTTTTTTGCTCATCATGTTTGCAAATTGTAACTCTAATTTATCCTTGACTTTATTATCATGATAACTTGAACAAGGGTGCTGGGTTGGGGATTAAAATGTAGCAACCGAACAGCAATTGAAGGAGAAAAGTGTAGAAATTTGTATTAATCCGAGTAAAATAGAACAACTATGGCTGATAAAATCAACCTTCTGTGACATACAGTTTTGGGTAAAATGAAACGAAAGAAATGAACAAGATAAAATAATAGCTTTAGAGAGGCTATGCTCTCTCCCAAAAGTCCCAAGTCCTTTTGAAAATGCCCAGATGCCTCACAGACTTCATGCTTTCACACTTTTACCCACGTAACAACCTGCAAATGGAATATTATGTGCTTCTCCTCAACTAGTTAGTTATGCCACCTGTCACCTCATGATTGGTGACTGTTTTAGATCCTCTACTACGCTTCCTCACATATGTCTTTGTTAAGATATATAAAACCATTAATGTAGCCTCACCCAATAGCTTAAGCTTTTGGGTTGAATTGGTTCTTTACATGGTATCAGAGCCTCGTGTCCTAGGTTCGATTCTCACCGCCTCCTATTTAGTGGAATTTCTTTCTTCGCATAGGTAGGTGGGTCTGTGCATTGTCTACCCTTCAAGCCCAGTGGACTCTCGTGTGAGGGGGCGTGTTAAGATATATAAAACCATTAATGCAGCCTCACCCAATAGCTTAAGCTTTTGGGTTGAATTGGTTATTTACAGTCTTCATACTCCCATCAAAAGGCTTTGGCAAATAATTATCTATGCTGAAGATTGGACAGTCACAAAATTAGTGGTGTATGGTGCTGAGGGCTGCTTATCTATTTTTAGTAGCAGTCATTTTTCTTATTGTTCGATTTATTTTGTTACAACCACAACAACTGTAATAGTTATTATTATTATCATGATATCACAGATGCATCTAGAATGAGGGGGTTTGTTACGGACCTTGCAGGCTTGTACGGGACTGTGGATGCTACTTAAGAGTTTGATTGACTCTATAAGTAACTTACCAGTGGTAGGAAAGGTTCTAAGGCTAAGCAATTTTTAATATACATATTATTAAATAATATGGAGTATTGAATTTTATATACAAACCTCACAGAGGTGTATATATATTAGCAACTAACATGGTTTACTAAATAAATACTCACTTTAACAATGGTGGGACTGTCTACTGCATGTATGGATTTTCACAATTTTATTTATTCGGGATTTGGTTTTAACATTGTTCACAGTTTTACCATGTCTTTCTGATTGTTCTAGGCACCAGAGAAGTTTGTTGCAGCAGCTGCTAGAAATCCTGTTTGTAACATTGCACTGATGGTTGGTATAACTGATATCCCTGATTGGTGCTTTGTGGAGGCCTATGGAACCACAGGCAGAGACAGGTTTACTGAAGCACCTTCAACAGAGGATCTGACTCTATTTTATAGCAAGTCTCCTATTTCACACCTCTCAAAGGTTTGTTCACCAAAATAAGCTTTTCAAATATTAAATTGCATTAATATTGCTCGGTATTTTAAGCACCCTGTAATCCACTAGAAATGAACAATTGCATGATGACTTTATACAAGCCTGCAATTTTGACATTAAGGGCGGGGATAGCTGAGGCATAATATTTTGAACAAACTGCGTTAACTATTTTAATTTTGGGCAATGATTTTCTCATATTACATGAGATAACATTGTCTTATGTAGAGACATAATTAGGTGGGTCCCACAACTAGAAAAAAGAAAAAAAGAAAAAGAAATGCTGGTTCGGATTTCGATGGGTGTGTAACATGAAATAAGCTTTTTCATGTAACATAAGAAAAACATTTCCCTTTAATTTTTCTTTGGCATTCGAGCCTTTCTTGCTTGAATTTTTAGTTTAACTCATTCATTTTTTCCTTTCTTCCTTTGTTTAGTTTATACTTTTCTTTGTCATTCCTTTTAATTGCTTGACAAAAGTTATACTATGAAGAGAACTGGTCTCAATTTTAATACGTGAACCATATTAAACCCTACTGTATTTATTATGGGAAAAATGTTTCTGCAGTTAATGCAGATAAGTTTTCTGTATTTATTCCCAAAACGACGTCGTTTTAGTATTAAAATCTTAAAAAATTATAAATATAAAGACTATTATAACCTTAAAATAAATTAAAATTACAAAAATACCATGATTTCCGTCCAAAACGACGTCGTATTGGGCTTACTGCAGATAACTTATCTGCAGTGACCGCAGAAAAAACGAACCCTTTTATTATACTATTTATAATATTTCATGTTGCTTGCTGTTAAATTCTGGCATTGCAGATTTATATTTTGATGATATCTGCAGGTAAAAACGCCAACGCTTTTCCTATTAGGTGCCCAAGATCTTCGTGTTCCAATTTCGACTGGACTGCAGGTAAGTCTTTTGACTCACTCTATATTTGTGAGCTTCAACAAATAGCTAGAGACTAAATGGGATTGCCTTCAAAACTAGAACGTATGATAGAAGAAATCATTTGTTTAAATCTGTAGTATGCTCGGGCTTTAAAGGAGAAAGGAGTAGAGGTTAAAGTTATCGTGTTTCCAAATGATGTTCATTCAATTGAAAGGTAAATAAATCTTAAACATCTCTCTTCGGTCTAAATAGAATTGTAAATTATAATATAGTTTGGTTTAACTTTTATACAGACCGCAATCCGACTTTGAAAGCTTCCTTAACATTGGGGTATGGTTCAACAAATACTGCAAATGATGAGCAGCATTTCAAGACCAGTGACTCAATCATGTGCTACGGAGCAGACTGTATTTTATATTTAAAAAAGAATCTGGAGCACACCATATTTGTCATATGGCTACATTTATTAAAAAAAAAAAAACATTTACTGAAGGTCATAATTGCTTTGGGTTATGAAGAGGAGAAGACATTTTTTGTTTTTTGTTTTAACTTAATGACCCTAACTATCCCTATGGGCAAGTCAAATCCCCATGTATTTTTCAGAATTAGTGTGTGAACCAGCAGGATTGTTTTGTGTGTCAAATTGTCAATCTCCAAACCCTTGATCAAGGGCAATGGCATTTTCTCATCAAAATAATACTTGCGTGTTTGGGATGGTTTTTTTTTTTTTTTTAACTTCTCTTCTTCTTATAAGTAAAAGTTAATTCAAACAAATTTTGACAAAAAAATTTATAATAAAAAAGAGTTTTTTTTTATAATAAAGAAAAAAGCCAAAAATCCAAAATTTCTAGGAGAATTTGTTTTAAGTTGTATTAATTTTTTTTGAAATATGTGTTTTTTTTTTAAAAATGAACCGTTTTTAAATAACTTTTAAGTTAAAAATTTTATATAATCTTCAAATAACTTGTAAGTTTTAGCTTAAAAATAGTTTTTAGCTAAAAATAAAAGAGCTCCCAAACAAATTCATAAATGAAGAATATTACTCTTATGTTATATGAGAGAATTTTTCTCTCATGCACTCACAAATTAAAGGTGAGATTCACTCTATATTTTTTTTCTATCCTCTATTCTCTCTACTATAATTTGTGATTACATGAGAGAAAAATTTTCTCATGTAACATGAGAGTATATATACTTCAACATTTTTTTATTTTGAATATAAAAAGATATAAGAAATCGCATAAAAAATATGGTGTATAGGAATCATTCTCATAATATAATACTAATGTTGAATTGTATAGATAAAATTGGAAAATTTTCCAATCTTATTGAATTGTATCAATTGCCTCCTATGAAATTTTTCCAGTCCCCCTTCCAATAACTATTGTTCTCTCTTTTGTTACGAGTTGTTATTTCTAGTCATAATCAAGTAGAATTTATCACCGTTTTTTTTATTTTTAAGTTCAGATTTTATTTTGATAAACAAAACTCCAAACAGAAAATAAGGGTAAAATGGACAAGTTAATTTAATTACTAGCAGTGTTAAAGGTGAACTTGGATGAAAAAAACCATACGGAGGTAATTGATGATAAAAAAAAAACATAAAGGTGTAAGTGATAAAAGAGTAAACTAGATAAGGGGTTTATGAACTTTTCCCAAAATTATATTATGATTAATCATGTTAATTTAACTAATCCTACATTTTTGTTCTAAACAAATAAGGTGAAAACCTACTTAATAAGTTATTTTAAAGTGTGATAGAGTGATTTCAGCAAATTCGTTACTTTTACAAAAATTCAAAGATAAAAACTCTCAAATTTTTAAATACGAATATGTTGTAGTTATTTACGTCCAATTTGAGCAAGACGATTCACGCCCAAACCAGGCGAAAATGCCATGTCATTCATGCCCACTTTAGGCGTGACAATTCATGCCCAGGCCAGACGTGAATGCCTTGGCCTATATATCCTATTTTTTTCACTTTTCACTTCCACACCATCTCTCTACCTTCTCTCTAAAAATGTTCTCTGACTTCTCTCTAGATTTCTTGTGCAGTTTTTGTGTGCAGCAAAGCTGTGTCAAACAAATAAGTCTTAATATTTGGTTTCTTTATTTTTTAAATAAAACAATATACATGTTATACTAGTGACCTAGGAATATGTTAGTGACTTAGAAAATTGCTAGTGACCTAGGAATTTGTTAGTAATTTAGGCAATTGTTAATGACGTATGAACTTGTTAGTGTTTTAGGCAATTGTTAGTGACGTGGAAATTGTTAATGACTTAGAAAATTGCTAGTGACCTAGGAATTTGTTAGTAATTTAGGCAATTGTTAATGACGTATGAACTTGTTAGTGTTTTAGGCAATTGTTAGTGACGTGGAAATTTGTTAGTGACTTGTGAATTTTTCATTGACCTAGGAATTTATTTGTGGACTTAGGACAAAAAAACGTACATGTAATTTAATATATTTTTTAAGTCTTGTATTTAGGCATGTAAATTATTTGAAAATGAAATTAATTATAACAAAGAATTTAATTTTGTATAGTACATTAATTATGGCTGACTCATCATCTTCCAAGTCACCTCGGTCTACATCCAATCACGAGGCTAAGCCATCGGATCCCACAACACATGTACTTCCAGGACCATACATGTGAGAAGTACTTCGAAGGCGCACATATGTTTCACAGGCTGTGTGTAACAAGGAAAAGGTTCGCAAATTGAAGACTAGACGCGGTAGGATGCAAGGGAGACCTTTTCCTGACGATATTCCTGACATTGTCGCAGACTACCTTTTCGCAGGCTGGCTTCCTACATGTCGCACGCATGTGACATATTCAGGTATGCATCTAAGAGTGTAATATATTAGAATATTTTAATTTTAATACAAAATTTGGAAAACTTACGTACTTGATAATTTGGTTGATTTGACATTCTGTCAGCATGTATTTCAGATTAATTCCTCCCAGACCATTGCTCTGGTTGAAAGGTGAAGACTAGGGACACATACTTTTCACATGATGCAGGGCGAGATGACCATCATCCTACAGGATGTCGCGGCTATCCTGGGATTGCCGACAATCAATATATGTGTAATGTGGAATTCCATTCCAAAAAAGAGGAACATCATCACCTAGATGTACGAAATAATACCAGTAACAAAAAAAAATACATAAAGCATACGTGTAGATTTATGTATATTTGTATTTTTTACTAACAGACCTTCAGAATGTTGCAGTAATTGAGTTGAGTCGATGTCATGATTTTTTGGGACATGAGACTCCTCCACAACATTATATTCTAGGATTTGAGTTTCAAGTATACTATGTTCCTCATCATTGTCTGAAGCACTAGCATATCAGCAAGAAGACAATCTTCAATTGCAATATTTTTATCATCGTCATCATCACCATCGTCATCCATAACCCACGTAGGGTCATTTTCATCTTCTACAAACAGATTAACAACTGGAGCAATAGATGATGATGCATAATGAGAAGAATTGAAATCATCTGACCTCATAGATAAAACAACATCATCTGCTCCGGCAATATCCACGTACAACTCTAAAAACTTTTTCCTTGACTGGTTGAAGAATTCCCCCATTACCATATCTACGTCTTCATCCTTGCATACTAATGTATTGTGATTCGCACCATATTCTTACCGTGACCAGATTGATAGATTGCTTACCTTCAAGAGCTAATTTTTGACAAATTTTCTGATGCAGCTCGCTAACTGTTGAGTTGCGCATGATACGTGTGTTGACCTTTTCTCGCCTTCAAAAACTACACCACGTTGACCTTCCATTTTAATACTATTATAATATAAAAAAACACAAATAGAATCAAAATGTGAACTCATTCTTAAATATGTAAACTAAAAACACAAAACAGAGTATGCATAAGCAAGTGATGTTGTATGAAAGAGTAAGAGTTTATGATTTAGAAGAGTTGCAAAGAATGTGGAGATAATAAGTGTTTAAATAGAAAAGAAGTAAAATCACGTTCAAAATAGGCTGAATAGGGATGTGAGTCATGCCCAAAAGTGGTCTGGATGACGACATGGGGCGTGAATTGTCATGCCAATAGGCTGCAACATATTCGTAAATAAATTCAAAATAATTGTATATTCATATTTATTTATTAAAATAGTAATATTTTAAATTTTTTTTTTTGTTTGGAGTTACCCAACTCTAATTATCTCTTTGAGACGAGTTGGCTCCCTCCGGTATTCCCACGAGCTTCGACTCTTTGAGCCCCCTCCCCAAGAATGCATTCAGCGGGAATCGAACACATATCTAACCCCACTATTTTTTTTTTTTTTTTTTTGCCATCTTTGCATCTTTACGATGTATTTTGAATAAATAAAAACAAGTGGGAAAACATCCAAACAACGAAAACTCTCCAATTCGTTACCTTTCCTTTGGAAAGAAACTCCAAAAAAAAAAAAACTCCCAAATTTTGAATTGGAAGTGGAGAGTGGCAGTGTCGAATGGCGTCGAGCTTGCAGAAGATGGAAGGGGACGAATCCGTTCTCTTACGCGTCACTCATTCTAATCTCAAGACTTTCACCGCTGACATCCGCTTCTCGCTTCAGGTCCCTTTTCCTTTCCTTTCCTTTTCCCATTACGCGCGACTTTTACGTTTGAAAAAAGCGCTTTTTCTTGATTCGATTCTTCTGATAGCTGTCGGTGGAAGCCGTGAAAGACAAGCTCTGGAAAAAATGCGGTACTTCCGTAAACTCCATGCATCTCGAGCTATACGACGACGTTCGCAACAAAATTGCTGATCTCACTGATAATTCCAAACCCCTTGGATTCTATTCGCCTCTTGAAGGGTTAGTCATTTTCATTTCTCTTTTTTATATACATATATTTCTCTTTTTATTTTTATTTTTATTTTTTATTATTATTATTCAAAAAAATTCATGCATTTTTCTCATCTTGTACTTGGTATTCGATTGTGTGAGTGTTGTTTTATTTTTTATTTTTTCTCAATTGCTTTGCCTATTGTGCGTGTTTAGCAAGCACCTTTGTTTTTTTGGCGGAAAAATTGTTGTCCATTTGGGTGAAATTGTATAAATTTGGAGTGATGATGTGAATTCATGATCAAGCCTATGCCAATTTTATGCTGAGCTTACCTTAAATAATGGCTTAATTTGCTATTTTCATTTTCTATGTCAGTGTTTGCTGAGTTGGGTTAGAGAGTGGTGTTGAGGTTTATGATATCTGCTATGTTTTCATAACCAGTGGAATCTTCATTTTCAAATGGGTTACAGTCAGTTATCGGCATTTTTTAGTATAAGGGTAGAAACATGTGAGCCTAAAGTGTTTTTTGGTTCTGCTTGAGTGTTATTATAACACCCACGTGTAGAGTTGACTTAATAGCTTTCCTTGTATTCTATATTTGGGGATAAAGCATAAATTTTTGAAGTCTGGGGACAGATTTAAAATTCCTTTTATTTTATTTTCTTAGAATTTAATTAGATAAGAATGACTTGGCATTCATAGAATACATCACTTGCCACCTAGTTATTTGTTTTAAAAAGAAATTTTAAGAATATATGGATGCATGCTAAGGTGTCTCCCGGATTATGGTATTGGGCTCATACGATTGATACTCATGGAAGTGGGAATTAAAGGTTTCCTTCCCATTGTGTGCAACGATGGCCTGAACATACACCTGCTCCACTTCAATCAAATTGAAGGGTTACATGCATCATGATCAAAATTCCAGCAGTTTCATTTCTCTACTCTTAGCTTTGAACCTTTTGAAACTTGAGAAAAACAGAATTCCGTTTTCCTTCCTTTGCATTGCACTCCATTGTCTTAGGAGAAAGATCAATTAAAGGTGGGGTAAGACCACAACTTCTGCTTCTGCATGTGCAACCGAGAAGGAAGTTGATGGGGGTATATATAGCTTTGTGGAACGACACCTTACGGATGTGAGGAGCATGTACTCCTTGTCTGAAGATAAACCATAATTTCAAGCCTCTTTTGTTTTTAGAGTGTAAAATCAGAATTTTCAAGAGGGATTAGGAAACTGACATCAAGACTTCGTTACAGACTTAAAATGGTAAGCTTGAGAATTTCTTTTAATACACCTTCCCTTTGGTAGTCCTAGAATCTGTCATAATATGATAAATAGTATGATGTAGTAGAATATGTGCTTCCATGATTATGTGATAGATGCTTGTTGAATTTTAAGTGAATACTACATTGAATGTGATTGAGATACCTCGGATGTGTTGTTTGAAATCCTTATAATGTGTGAATTGGTTGTGATGCTTTTATGAGTTATGATCGTATGATGTAAAAAGGAGAACTGGCCAGTTAATTAACAAGTACAGCCTCTTAGGACAACAACCCTATCTTGAGCCATCTCCGTGGAGACAAAGAGAAGTCTCTTAGTTAAAATGCCTATCTTGGAATGGGCTCATGGGGGCAGATAAGGACAATTGTGTGTGTATAATGTTTTCTGATTTATTCTTGAGAATGATGTCTAGTGCTATGTTAATTGTATATATTTTAAAGAAGTTCAAGTACAGGTTATGGACTTCCATGGAGGAACAATTATAAAGAAATTTTCAGGCTTATTGAGGTAAGACCTCACCCTATTGTGGGCTGCTTTTGCAGGCTATGAAGAAAGAAAGAAGGACAGCAGTAGTTGCCCAGAGTAGTGCATGTCTTTCTGATTATGGCTGAATGTGACCACTTTTAAATTGTTGTTTCGGGGATGTAAATGCACATGTTAGTGTATGAGTGGTCTGATTTTGTTGAAGTTTATTTTAATATGTAATGGAACCTATGTATCCAACCCCCCTAGATGTGCTTATGTGTAGAAAAACCCAAATGCTAGACTCAACTGTAACAGCTTATAATCTGCCATTTTGTCATGTGTATTTCCCCAGAATAATAAAGCTAGGCAACCTTGAAGTGGAATATTGTATGTTTTTGATTGCGAAGTTTGTTTTATAAAGTATTATTGTTGGATATTTTGCTGTCCAGGGGGAATTTGGATGCAGCTAATAATTCAAGCGTTAGGAGACCTTGGAAAATGGATATTACATTCAGTTATAAGATTCTCCTAACAATTCACCAACCAATTATCATCCTTGCTATGGAAGTGTAACAATGGGTCTATATCACTTAAAGAAAGAAAGGGAAGGAGAGTAAAAGTAGAGAGGATAATCAAGTAGGAATACCTTCCCCCTCATTAGACCTATATCTCATTAGTTAAGCTTCAAAGAGATGCCAACTATTAAGATAGCACTTGATAGGAAAGCAACTTCAAAAGGTTTGAAGCCCAAAACAGATAAATGGTCTGGCCCAATTTTAGTGTATCAACGAAGAGCTAAGGCAAGAGAGGGAAAGGGGGGTGTTGAGCTGGAATGAGTTAGCTTTGGCCCTGTGGTGCTTGATTTCGGTTAAGGAGAGAGAGTATGGCATAATCTGTTAGTGTGTTGCTTTATATGAGTAGTTTAGTGTGGGGAGTGTTTCTCCAAAGCAGGGAGCATTGTTGCTCTTATTTTCCTTGTTCTGCATTATACTGTATTGGTGTTTTTCTGCATTCATATATACAATTTCTCCCAATTTTTCAGATAGGTGAGTTAAATCCTATCAAATTGGTTCTCTCGTTGAGAGAATTTAGGAGGGAGAATTTTGACAGTTTATGTTCACACGAATGACGTCCCAAAGGATCGATGCTCTAGATGCACGAATGGCTGCCGTCAAATCATCTCTCAAGTCACAAGAGACGCTTCTGCGTTCTCACGATGTGGCGTTGAAAGCTCACACCTCCCATCTTTCTGACCTCTCGACGAAGTTGGGTTCTCTGGTTACAAGTGTTGTTTGATCGCGATGAGGCTTTGAGACAACTTAAGCATCATCTTTGCGGGCCCAAAATTCTATGAAGCGACAGGCTGACATCCATCGCAGGGAACTCCAATTTGCTGTGGGTGATTGGGTTTATGTGAAGCTTCTCCCCCATAGCCAAGTTTCGGTCTCTAGGTGTAACAGTCCTAAGCTGTCTGCCTGTTTCTATGGCCCTTTTCAGGTTATTGCTCAAGTGCGCCCAGTGGCCTACAAACTGCTCCTTCCAGAAGCATCACGGGGTCACCCGTGTTCCATGTATCTCAGTTGCGCAAAGCCATTGGTAGTGCTTATGCTGAAGGCCACCTTCCTCCGGGACTAAATGTTGAAAACACTATCATTCCTGAACCAGAACTGTCCTGGCCATTCGCAACTTTGTGGATCAGCGAAAATCATGCAATGAGTGGCTCGTGTTTTGGAAATCTAGACCAGTGGAGGAAGCCACTTGGGAAAAGGAAAGTGATATCCGGGGGCAATTTCCTACATTTTGCCTTGAGGACAAGACGAGTTCTAAAGATGGTGGTATTGATAGCTTGAAGCCCAAAACAAATAAATGGTCTGACCCAATTTTAGTGTATTAATAAAGAGCAAAGGAAAGAGAGGGAAATGGGCGTGCTGAGCTGGAATAAGATAGTTTTGGCATTGTGGTGCTTGATTTCTGTTAAGGAGAGTATGGCATAATCTGTTAGTCTGTTGCTTTATATGAGTAGTGTTAGTGTCACTGGGGTTCTTTAGGCAGAATTTACATTTTTCTTTCTACAGGGGTAAAGAGGGGCTGAGGAGTGTTTCTACAAAGCAGGGAGCATTGTTGCTCTTATTTTCCTTGTTCTGCGTTATACTGTATTGTTCTTTTCTGCATTCATATATACAATTTCTCCCTATTTTCCAGATAGGTGAGTTAAATCCTATCAGCACTCATGTCCTATAGTTTAATTACTTGACCACTACCTTATCTCTTAATAAATGTGTGTGATCATTGATGCACTTGATATGTTCTGTTTTTTTGAAAAGCGTGGCATGGGGTATTGGTTGAAATTTTGCTATTTGTTGATCGTATCTTCATTAAGAACTTATTGCATGAGTTAGAGCCTTCCCTGCGCTTGAAATCATGAAGTTCAACGTATTGGGTGCACACGGAGCGTTATAGTTATGGTCTCACTTTTTGCATCTGCTTTCCTAATAGCAATGCATACGACGATGCTTTGAGAGTAGAGTTGTTGTTTGACTTCTCATGACATGTTTGTTACTCCATGGAATTTTCAGAAGCAGCAATTTGTTGCTTTCAACATCTGACTTGTTTTTAATTCACTATTTGAAGCATCCAACATGGTTTTTTGGTTCATCAATCTGGTTGGTTATTCTCCTGTTGCAGGTTTCGTTTGCATGTTGTAGATCTTGATCCATCATCTGTCACATCTGGTGGTTGGTTAGAAGATACTTCCTTGGTGGAAAAATACAAAATTTCTGAAGAAGCCTATAAACAGCGAGAAGGCATGTCCTCCCACCCTCTCCCAAAAAATAAAACTTATTTTTATCCACTTCTTTTAAAAAGTGTAGCGTGCGTATATTAGCAAATATCTGTGCTTAATCTATATTTGGCATTGAGTAATTAAAAAAGCAACCTTTACCTTTATAGGAAAGATTTTGTTAATGTGTGGCCTTAGGGCATTGGTTAAGGAATCAAAATTAGAAATTATTAAATGAAAAGTAGAAGCGTCTAATGTCTTAAAATCCAAAAAACATTTAATACTTTCTTCTTTAAATAATTATTGAAGAGCAATAGGTGCTATTTTTATTCCTTAATGGTACATGTTAACAAAAACCTTACAGATAAAATTAAAATCAAGTTTGGGAAAAATCAATGTATATATACTTATGAGGACAGAACCTACTCTCTAGTTGAACACCTTGGAGAAATTGACCTTTTCAATTCCCTTGAAATTTAATTATGTTGTTTTCTGTTAGTCATGTTAGTTGGAAGGTGATGAAGCTGGTTTTTACTGATCAAAACATTGGAGACTAGCTCCTTACAAGAACATAAAGAAAATGCAGAAACTAAAAGATAAACCTAGAGTTCTGTATATGTCCAGAACCTCCTCCTTCCCCTTCAGCCCCTCCCAAATCCCTCTCTCCATTCTTAGCTTGCCACATGTAATCCTCCCTAACCAACTTCCCTTCTGTCTTGCTAACAGATTTCTTCTTGTTTGTGCTAGTTGCTACCTCTATATTGGGCCTATTGTGTTCAAGCCCTTTTCTTGCTTTCCTTTGGTCTTAAACATACTTAAGGGGTCAACATACCATTTTGTTGTCTACCATAGAAGTAGAGTATATGGCCCTAGCTGAGGGTAGAGGAGAGGCTAGTTGCATGGTCTAAATCTAATAAGTGATTTTAAGTTGATAAAAAAGATAGATGTTTTTTGTAATAGAGTGTTATATATTTAGCAAAGAATAAGATGTATCACGAGGGTACCAAGCATACCGATGTTAGATATCACTTCATCGGGGATATTGTATCACAGAGCACTTTGGTTGCATAGGAAATTTCTACTCTTGTGAACCTGGCAAATATAATTTGAATTTGTTTTGCACGCTAGTATAGGCATTTCCTGGACATGGTTGGAGTTTTAAGAAGTACCAATTGGTGCCCTTCGAAGGGCAAATGGTGGGGATGCTGAGTTGAGTCATGTTGATGATAGGGAGAATACAAATGAAGGGGAAGAATTGTTATAGAGTTGCTTGTATAATTTTGGGCTTGGTCTGTAATGTGATCCGACCCAAAAAGCCTGTGGTGCGACCAGACAAGGATTTTTCATGGAGATTAATGGTGGAATCATTAATCATTAGAGTGTTTTGGGATTAGAATTTGAGTATTAAGTGGCTATTTCTTGTAACATTCATTTATCATAATGATTTTTCCCAACGTTTTTGCCTATGGACACAGGCCTATTATTAATTGTTGGTTGAACCACATTAAATTTGTGTCTCTTTTTCTCCTTCTTATTTTCCATTTGCACACCTGGTTACAACAAATTCTGCGAATGGATGATGGTTGACTATACTTGAAAAGTAGGATTGTATTATGTGAAAATTGTTTTTTACAAATGTACAAGACCTCTCTATTTATAGAGACTGAATGACCTAATGGGCTAAGGCCGAAAAAATTTTTAGAATGAAAAATAAATAAAAAATAAAAAATTACAATTATTAATAAAAATAAATAATTACAATTATTTACAACAGTCACCCTCAAGCTGAGAAATAAATATTTATCATCTTGCTAGTAAGTTCTTGAAATCTATCTGAGGGAAGTTCCTTCGTTAGAATATCAACTAATTGACGCCCAGAAGGAATGTATGGAGTGGCGATCAATCCGCTATCTAGTTGATCTGGATTGTGAGTTATACAAATTATTGACTTATCACAAAGTAGCTTTATAGGTGCTTCATATCTTATTTTAAAATCATCAAGTATAATCTTCAATCACAATAATTCACAAATGCCTTGAGCCATAGCTCGAAATTCAGCCTCTGCACTTGACCTGGCAATCACATCCTATTTCTTACTCTTCCATGTTCATAGTAGTTAATTGCGTCCGCAATAGCACCGCGAGCCGTGCCGTATGGGCGTTGCGGTGCCTCGCCGCAAGGCGCCGCGCCGCGCCGGAACGCAATAGCGGCCATTGCAATCGCATTTGCGGCCATATTGCTGTCATAAGACAAAATGTCAATTTTGTCCTAAATTTAAATGTTTAACAGAAAAAATTTAAGGGTTTTTTAGTCTATCCACGTCTCTCTGTCACTTCTGCTATCTCTGCCTTTAAAAAATGTTTCTTTTTGTCATTATTTCGGTCATATATCTATTCCGCTATTTCCGCAACCGCAACCTGCTATAACGCTATAGCGTTTTTCGGGGTTGGCCGTGACATGCCGCAATCCGCATTTGATAACTATGTCCATGTTACTAAGTTACCACAAAGGAACATATAATAACTAGTGGTAGATCGACGGTCAGTCACAGATTCAGCATAATCGGTATTAGTATAAACTTCTAAAGAGGGATTGCCATCATGTCAGAATAACAGTCCTTTACCAGGAGTGACTTTAAGGTACTGGAGAATTCTCTCCACTGTATGCATGTGTTTTTCTTTTGGATTATGCATGAACTGACTCACAATACTAATAGCATAAGCTAGGCCTGGTCTAGTATGAGCCAAATATATCAGTCTCCCAACTTGTCGTTGATATTGTCCTTTATCAACTGGAGGACTTTCCTCTTCGTAACCAATCTTGTGATTCTGCTCAATAGGAGTACTAGAGGGTTTACACCCAAGTTTCCTGCTTCTTTAAGAAGATCAAGAACATATTTCCTTTGACTAATAAAAATTCTTTCCTTTGAATGAGTTACCTCTATCCCTAAGAAATATTTCAATCTCCCAAAGTCTTTAATCTCAAATTCAGAGGCTAGTCTTGCTTGTAGAATGTGTCTCTCTGCAATATCGTCCCCTGTTATAATGATGTCCTCAACATACAAAAGGAGCACAGTAAGTTTCCCATCTTGGGAGTGCTTAAAGAAAAGTGTGTGGTCTCCTTGACTCTTTTTGTATCCTAAGGTTATCATAACCTTAGTAAACCTTCCAAACCAGGCACGAGGCTTTCTAATTCAAACCTTCTAATTCATAACCTTAGTTTCCACACAAGGCTTTCTTTAACCTACAAACTTTATTTTCCCCATCCATAGAGTCAAAACCAAGCAGGATTTCAATGTAAACTTCCTTTTCTAATTCACCATTAAGGAAAGCATTCTTCATATCAAATTGATTTATTTCCCAGTTGTGATGGGCAACAAGAGCAACAAGGCTCTCACAGTATTCATCTTTGCAACTGGAACAAAAAAGTTTCTTCATAATCAATGCCATAGGCCTGAGTATAACCTTTGGCGACTAATCGAGCCTTATATCTCTCAAGAGTACGATCAGAATTGTACTTTAGGGCATAAACCCATCTGCACCCTACTGCTTTCTTTCCATTGGGTTTATTAACAACCTCCCATGTTTTATTCTCCTCCAAGGCATTCATCTCCTCTTGCATGGCCTGAACCCAATTCTCATCTTTTAATGCTTCAAGCACTAATTTTGAGATGTAAATGAAATCTAGTGCTGACATAAAGTTTTTGTGCTGCATAAAAAAGTTAATAGAAGAAACAAATTGAGAGATAGGGTGTTGGGTGCAAGATCTTTTTCCTTTTCATAAGGCAATGGGTAAGTCATCAGAGACATTGGGTAAATTATAATAAGCAATAGGTAAGTCATCAAAGACAATAATCATGTTCAAAAACAAGAGATTCAGGATTTACCAGTTATTCAGATGATTGAGGTTGCTGATAAAGCAGTATGAGTTGTTTCCTCCTCTCATATACCAATTCAGGTGTCAAAATTTTCCGTATGTCAGGTGTTTTTGAAGGTTCTGACATATTAGGAGTAGATACATGAGGGAGAGATGTAGGAGTAGACAAGGACGACCAAGACTCAAAGAAGGAAGGGGACAAGTCTGCTGAAGAACTGCTCTCCCCCTGAAGATGAGAACCCTGGAAAAAGGACTCAGATTCATGAAATGTGACATCCATAGAAACAAAAAAATTTCGACTTGGAGGACGATAACACTTGTCATCTTTTTTGTTAGGGGCATAACCAAGGAAGACACACTTAAGAGCCCTAAGATCCAACTTACTGCGATGTTGTTTATGAACATGGACAAAGGCAACTCACCCAAACACTCGTGGCGGAAGACTCTGCAAAATAGGAACAGAAGGAAAGAAGGAAGTCATGGAATGAATAGGACGAGTATTTTTAAGGACCCGTGAAGGTAAGAGGTTGATCAAAAAGGCTGTAGCTAACACGGCTTTTCCTCACTAAGAACTAGTAGTGCTCTAGCGACTTCAAGGAGGTGACGATTTTTTCTTTCAGCAACCCCGTTTTGTTGAGGTGTATCAACATATGTGAGCTCATGAATCATACCTTTGGCTGAAATGAATTGCGACAGACATTGGTTGACGTACTAAGTACCATTATCAGATCTTAATCTTTCAATATTCTTAACAAATTGAGTTTTGGCCATGTGATAAAATCGGATAAATATCTCTGGTACTTCAGACTTGTCTGATATCAAGAATATCCATGTAATCCAAGTACAATCGTCAATAAAAGAAACAAACCATTTTGCACTAGAAACACTATGCACTTTAGAAGGGTCCCAAATATCAAAATGAATCACAGAAAAAGGTTCAATGCTTTTGATGGCACTAGAAGGAAAGGACACTCGATGGTATTTTGCAAATTCACAAACTTCGCAATGAAAGATCTCAACTGACTGATTTAGAAATAGAGAAGAAAACATTGACTTCAATAGACTAAATGGTGGGTGCCCCATACGCTTGTGATGGGGCCAAATCATAGACTCTGTAGTAGAAGGATGACTTGTCATCAATAGTTGATTTTTAATATCATTTGTAGCATGTTCTAGAAGGCGATAATACAACCCACCCTGCTCCTCAACAACTCCAATTATCTTTCTCGTGGTAAGATCCTGAATAACACAATGAGAAGGGAAAAAGGTGTTAGAACAATTCAAATTAGTTGTAAGCTTTTGAGTGGAGAAAAAATTAGTGGAAAATGGAGGAACATAAAAAACATTTTTAGAAACAAGGAAGGTTGAAGTTGAATGTTACCAGAACCAATAACTGATTTATGGGATCCATTTGCTACGGCTATAGTATGACTACTAATAGTAGGATGATAAAAAAGAAAAAACTCACAAGACAAGTCATATGATCAGTTGCAACAGAATCCAAAGTCCATAAGGTTTTAAAATTAGTGCAAGAAGCAAGAAGAGATGTAGAACGTGTGTACTTACCCGACAAGATCAAAGAACTGTCATACGGCTTACACAAAGTATCAATAGCGGCCTTAAGCTGCTCCAACTCCTCTTGCCGATTATTCACACATGGAGTAACATTATCACACTTCCCATGAAGGTGAAAACACATGTCACTTGTGTGTCCAGTACTCTTACAATAGGTGCACCAACGTCCCATGGATAAAAACAGATCAAAGAGAACAACCCAAAAGAAATGGATAATTATAAATGAATCAAAAAGGTCTCCAGAGAGCCCAAATAGCAAAACAACTTTAGGTTTGAGTCTAAACAGAAGCAAAATTATCAGATTTGCAAAATGAGGAACCAGAAAAGGCCAAAAAATGTGCAACTTTAGGCAAAAAACGCACAAACGTTCAACCATACGATGCTGTAGAAGCCTCTGAACGTCCCAAACAGCAACAAAAAAAAATCAGATCTGATCAAAGGAGGCACGAGTGGCCAAAATGATCCGATTTTGATGACAAGTTGAGGTCTCTGAACGTCCCAAATAGCAAAAAAAAAAAATCAGATCTGATCTAAGGAGGAGCGAGTGGCCAAAAAGATCTGATTTCTATGACGAGATCAAAGACCCATTGCTGGAAAAATGTCTGATCAAGAAGGTAAGAAGATTTGGAACTGGGGAGCCAAGGCAAGTCCAACTGATGTGGTCTGAGGAAGATCAGAGTTGAAAAGGCACAGCAACAGTAGCGGTTTTTTTTTTCCTTGGGGGGGGGGGGGGGGGGGCTGTTTGGGTTGTTTTGTTATTGGGAAATGTATGTAGATTGATTGATTTGAAAAAACGGAGTCAAGCAGTGGTCTTCTTGATCCAAAAGGTCTCCGGAAAAATTTTCCGGTGGCGGCAAAAGGCAAACAAATAGGGTTCCGCTCTAAAGGTGGCAGTTGCGGAAGCAGAGCCCTCAGGATCAAGAGCTCTGATACCAACTTGAAAAGTAGGATTGTATTATGTGAAAATTGTATTTTACAAATGTACAAAAGCTCTTTATTTATAGAAATTGAATGACCTACTGGGCTAAACCCAAAGAAGATTCTAGAATGAGAAATAAATAATTACAATTATTTACAACAACTGTGTTTTACTATGCTGTATCAGGCACATTCAGAAAATATAAAGAGAAATTGACTTCCCAAATTCCGTCAACTGTTGAGGCAAACGTAAGTATTTGATTGATTTATCTTGCTTAGTCTGATGTTTTAGTCCTCTTTTATCTCATATATAGCCCAAAATAATCTAGTACTTTAGAGTTTCTCATATCTATTATTGATTAGGCATTCATTACACAGATACCTGACAACTACATGGAAGACCCCTGTGCTAATATCAAGGTTTGTTAGTTATGATATCTATGCTTCTTTGTTCTCTATTAACATAGAATTGTTGTTTTTCTTTTCTTTCTTTTTAAATATAGTTGTTGATATTATAAGGTTTTGGTGGAACATCAATATAAAACAACACCTTTATCCCAAACTAGTTGGGGTAGATGGCAAATAAATCCAAATGAAAAGTACGAAAAGATTGAAGAAAAAAAGATAAAAATAAAATTTTAAAAAAATATAAATAACACAAATTTTTTTTTTGAAAATAAAGATACATAGGAGAGAAACATACATAAGGGGAAAAAAAAAGAATAAGAAAGTAAAAATTAGAATAGAATAGAATAGGTAGAAAAGAATAAGAAGGTTTAGGCGGAAAAGGAGGAAAAATAGAATATAGAGACACTGTGAATAATGAGGTTAAATTGATAGGAGATGTAATGATAGATGTGCGTAAAACACTGACCTACTCTTATTCTCATTTAGACTAATAATAAGGTCGTGTACTACGGTAGTACAACTAGTACAGTACAAGCCTACCCCAATAAGACTACTAACATATTAAGATTCCTAACATAATAGAAATGTAACATTACAAATGTCAAGGACCAATTATCCCAAAAACTTAAGCTATTAGTGGTGGCTCAAGAATAGGTTTATATATCTAACACATGCCCTCATGCAATAACCTTTAGAGCTTTTTAGTGTAGACATTGCACAGAAATTTACCTGTATTACGAGTTTGTAAGTTTTCTTTTATTTTATTATTTTGTTTTTGTTGTTGATTAGTTGTTAGACTAGTATTTGAATTTGGTTGAATAAGTCTTGCCAGTTTCCATAAAACTATCAGACGTGGGTAGAGGTAGTCTTACCTATTTTTATACAAGTTTTTAAGTTATTGTTACTTGGTGCTCATGTGTAATTTCCTGTTTAATTAGAGTTTGATGAATAAAGAGCTATGGTTGAAATCATACTTGTTAGTATTAGTTAGCGGCCAACCCCGAAAATGGTATAGCAATGTAGCGGGTAGCGGTGTTGCCGCTACGGTGAAGTATTAATTCCACATATATTATACTAACAGTCTAATACAACACAATTATAAATGCTCAAACATAAGAAGTCACACAAAATCAAACACAATTCCACAATCAATGTCAAATAAAAGGAACATAAAGGAAGAATCCAAAATTAAACATAAATGAACAATGAATTCCACAAAATAGCGGATAGCGTCGCGTTGAACACCTGTACACACCGCTACTTGTGTTTACCAAAACACATAATCCTCTTTTAATTTTCTCTGCTCTTGCTCTGCCATACTTGTGTTGCACAAAAAACAGCCAAGATAGGGGAAAAAAACCCAAAGCAGGACCTTGTATGTACCAACCTAGTGCTGAAATTCAACTTAATTATGAAGATTGTGGTGTCAAGAATCAAATTTCTGAGCACTTGGTCATACAGACTCAGGTGCCATGCCAAGGACCACTAATTCCAAAAGCTTAAAATATTAGGTAAAAGCTCAAGAGTAGTTTTATATATCTAACAACAAATAAACATACTAAAGAAAATAACCTATATATGACATGGGATCCATAAACCATAGCTGGAAAGACTATTTGTGTCTGAGATGTCAAGAATTTCAGGAGGCGCTGTGGTGTCAAATAGAATTTTAGGAGGCGCTTAAGTTTTTGTGAAATTGATGATAAAATGGGGGAGAAATGAAAGGGTATGGAATGAAATTAATTCTGATCATAGAATTAATTTGATGGATACAATCGAAGTTAACCAAGAAGAAAAGGAAATAATTAAGTAGAATCATATTGCAGAACAGATCTCAATCATTTATTGCCATCGAATCTAATCAAGAATTAGTTCTGGATTTATTCTCAAATTCAAACATGATCCATTTTTCCCCTTGCAATCTAGTTGATCTATCAGCCTTGACCTGAAACAATAGGCAATAAGCTAGATGAGCATTATTTGGAAGATAACTTAGCAAGATAGCTGGAATGACGAACAACAAAAAAAGCTGGTTGATATGTTAGATGGGCTAGCCAAACAAATTAAAGGCATGTGTAGCCAAATTGTCAATATGAATTGAAATGCTTTTAGCAGTATGATGTGGCCCAACCAACTAGAGCCCAATGAACCTAAGTTTACACTAGGAACAAACACAGGAGAATTTGAACTCCTGCTGAATGAGCAACTGTGCAATAGAATTTGGTTTCTTAACCAAATGGAATCTGGTGGTTGAGTAAGGAGTGGGAGGTGTAGGACGAAACCTTTGGTCATTTTGGAATATTGGGATTGGGTTTGGTAGATACTCTTACAATCCAATTGCAAGGTATGGGACTTGGAGTCCCACATCGGAAACATAAGTTTTTGATGTGGGGTTTATATGGACTTTGGGCTCTTCTATCTTACGAACTAGTTTTTGAGGTGAGGTTTTCTCAAGATTCGTATCAATTGGTATTAAAGCTTTCCACTATGTCTCCTAATTGCAATCGATGGCACGGCCTGGTGATGCTGGCATTGCAGTGTTAGCCCAGTGTTAGTAAAAGACTAGTCCAAAGTTAGCCCGTGTGGGCATCGGAGCTGTGGAGCGTAGTGGATTGTTAAGATCCAATTGCAAAGTATAGGACTTGGAGTCCCACATGGAAACATAAGGTTTTAATATGGGGTTTATATGGATTTTGGGCTTTCCTACCTTATTAGCTAGCTTTTGGGGTGAGATTCTCTCAAGGTTCGTATCAGACACTCAAAGTGTTTCTAAGGGCTCTGTTTCCTTTTTGTTCATTTCCCTTTTGTTGTTTGGTATAATTCAGTTTCTGTTGTAATTTGTTGTCTCTGTGAAACTTGGTGTACTGGATGCCATATTTTCCCGGTGCAATGTTATCTGGTGTTCGTTTCCTTTCCATAATTCTCTCTTAAAGTTTCTTGAGTCTATCATACTGGGTTGGATATATTGTTTTGATAGTGTTACAATTTGTATCAAGGATCAATTGCCAGTAATATACAAATGGGTACTGAATAATGATATGATATCACTTACTAGCAGTATGCTGTAGCCTCGGTTACTTAAATATTTGGATGAATTGTAAACGGTACTTATTTGTTTGATACATTAATTGTGTGTTTTTCTCTGGATGTCGTTAATTATGATTCATGCATCTAAACGAGGATATATTATGTATTTTCTTGTTCATGTTATTGTAATGCCTATCATATCACCTAATTTTAATGAATTAAATCTTTTGGAATTGCCATCTTATTACTCTACTCTCTCCAATTTTCAAAATATCAAGGTAGGATCCAGATGTGAAGTTGAACCTGGGGAAAAAAGGGGTGTTGTAAAATTTGTTGGTCGGGCAGAACCACTAGGTCCTGGTTTCTGGGTTGGAGTACAATATGATGAACCCTTGGGCAAACATGATGGCATGTAAGTAAAATTACTATCTTTATATATGATATGCAAATCTGTATATATTAACTCCTGACTAGCTTATCATCTTAATTTTCTCCATGTGTTTAAATTACACAGCGGTGGCCAAATTATATAGACAAAAAGTAATAAATAGAAAGATCACATATATCCTAATTACCATATTTACATGATTTGGTTAGCCTACACTTATATTGGAATTTCCCTTGGTTATGTTACAGGGTCAAAGGAGTACGTTACTTTGAATGCCCTCCATCTCATGGTGGAATGGTTAGGCCAGTGAAAGTGAAGGTTTGTTAAGAACCACGTTGTAGTAGTCCTTTAATATTTGGATATTTTTCATTGTTCATGGTGCTTTTTTCTGATAAAAGAAAATTCATAAACACGAAGAAAATAAATGCAAAAGATGGTAGGATAAAGAATCCTCCTTGCTCATTATTGCATGTAGGCAAGGTTGTTACAATTCAAATCCTCCATGGAGGCAAGGTAGTCACAATTCAAATTTCTCTTCTGCCCCCGTACTCATTATTCCCCTATAGCATAAGAGTGCCTAACCATACTTGGCAATAATGTTGATATTTTCAATTATATTCTTTTTCTCCGCCCCCACCCCCTTCTTCGCTGATCATGCCACAACACATGTTGTATAGTTGAGGCTTCTTATGCAATGTAGCAATAATTGCCTTTGGAAAATCACACCCTAATCCCATGATGAAATATAGAAATAAAGAGGAAAGTATTAATAGGTCCTCTTATAATTAGCAGCATAAAATATCTTTAACTTCAGATTTGATAATAAAAGATCTCGGATTTTTAATCCTTACATATCCTTTCCAGGTTGGTGACTACCCTGAACGAGATCCCTTTGAAGAGGATGAAATATGAGTCTTCATGAGGAAGCTTCTTTCAATGTGCAAGGTTTCACTCTGTAAAAGTCAAATATTAATTTGTGAAACTTATATTTGTTGGTGTTTCTAGGCAGTGAACACGTAAAGTTTAAAAAAGGGTTTCAATTGCGGTTTCTGAGTGTTCGTATTACTGTGTGTGTGGGTAAAAAGAAATGATGATACAATGTGAAAAACAAAAGTTGGAAGCTCATTTCGATGATAAATCGAGAAAACAACAAAGTTGAATAATACTCTCTGGGGGGAAACATGCAGATTGGTACTTAGTAGACACCAAAACGAATTAGTATATCTTTTTTAAGTGCATATTGTTAAGACCAAAACGCTAGCTAGAAAGCTTAGTTTGTGCGGCCCTCTCTATTATTGAACACCATGCGTTATCAGGATTTTTTCAATTAAAACACAATTGAATAAAGACTTTTACATTCAGCCTTAATACTAAGTTTTGAGCTCCTCAAGTAACTCTTCAAGTACAAATGGTAATTATTGTGTCGGCAATTTCGGCCAGCATTAATTGAATTGTGCTAACCGTGTTTTTGACAAGAAATATGGCTGCTTGATGCTGTTAAAATGTTTTTTCAGAAAAAGCAAGTCCTAATGTTCATTTTGTCAGGTTATGATGATAAAATTATTATTCAGTTATAATATATTTGTTATTTCTAGTTTCTAGTTAAAATGTACTACAAATTACTCATTCTGAATGAAAATTGGGACTTGTTTGACTTGCAATGTTCTAAGGCATACAAATGGTTGGGAATTAAAATTACCATGTCACTTTAAGATAAACTAGCCTGTAAGCTATCTGCGATTTTACAATTAAACTGTCATCATGATGCACAATTGCATTACCCCTCGAATTAGCACTCGACTAAATGACACGCTCTTAGAAATTGATATTGGAAAACAGTAAGCAAACAAAATCGATTTAAAATTGACCCCACGCAACGATAGTTGCTGCCACTGGAATTCATGCATGAAAACACGTGCATATAGGATGATCTCCCAAAGTCTCATTTTGTGTTACTAGTACAATTAATTTTAATTGATTCTCAATCGATTATCTATTTTAAGGGGCAACAGAAGGAAATGGAATACAAACATAGTGTATCCAAACCCTTGACAATGCAGCCATTTGTTATATAATGTAGGTATTGTATCAACAACCACCAAAAATACCAATCTAACTGTGTTTTTCCATCGGTGTCTCAGAGTATCTACCTGCATGAGGATGCAGAAGTAAATGAATAACAAAAAAATTAAGTCTTATATTATTCTGTCCGAATACAGCAAAACAACTTATTCAATCTCTCTTTCCCTAAGTATATGAATCATATAAGTTACACATTTTTATTGCAAAATTATACCTGCATTTTGTATATAGTGAAGTTTTCCAATATCAAATAGCAAAATTGTTTTTGCCCAAAATAAAGAATAAATATCAAAGATAACTAATCAACATATAACACTCAGACAATTGCTTGCTTTAAAAACCTGATCCTGCCAATACTGTAACCACTTACATCAATGTACCCATTGGTCACCTTGTCGAGCCTGCTCAATGTTGCTATCTATCACTTCATACTCCAAAGTTACAGTAGCAAGCCACATATTATATTGATCATTAGTAAACCATACTTAATTATTTCCCGGATTCAAATTCCTAATTTTTCAATTATAAAGGAGGCAATTTTACCACCATTGACAATAGGTATTGTCATAAAAAGACATGATAGATTCAATTATTCAAGCACTATTGGATCGAAGCACAAACACATAACCAGTCAATTTTATTTTGTGCAGTTCAGAGTTCATGAACCATAATAAAACCAGAAGTCTGACAAACAAATATAAACTGAAAAGCCTAAAAACAAATAAAAAAAAAGGGGGGGGAAAGGAATCGATTTTGGCTTTGGCCTTCATAGTACCTGTCAAAAGTTATCATGACAGATGAGTGAAAGAAGATAATTAGGTAATAGGAATCATGAGCAGCAAGCTGGACATCTTATCAAACCATTCTCATTACAATCTTGGCACCTTCTCAATTCCCCTTGTTCCCCCTCAAACACCTTCCTGCTACCATTGCAATTTGAGCAAGGAACAAACCTGGCATCTCCACAGGTCTCACACACAAAACCATGATCCAAAATGGGAAAACCTTTCAAGAGATTTGCCAATTCTCCAGATTCATTTAGCAGCTTGATTTCTTCTGCATTTCCCACATACTTTCCTCTTATGAAGACCATTGGCAAGGTCACTGTTTTGCCTCCAATTGCATTCTGCAACTCCTTCCTATAGGATGAGTCCATGGAGATGTCCTTTTCATCTACTGCAACTCTGTATCCCCTCAATATCATCCTAACCGAACAACAATCTTCATAAGTCTTGCGGATACCTCGCAAACTTGTAAAATAAACCACTATTTTATCCTCATTGATAGAAAATGAAGAACAACTCAAAGGGCTAGAAGATCCCATTGACCTTACACCTTTGTTACCGAGTTTCCTTGATGACAATGCTCGCAGGTAACTCCAAGCCACATTTGGGTCCAATTTAGCAAGCAGAGTTTCCTCAGATAAATGCTGCCAAAGTGGCTTCTTGGGTAATGATGATGATGGGGAAGAATAATTCTCCTCCAAGACAGCTTCTGATGATTTGAGATGTTTCTTTGCAGACCCATCAAATGTTGTGTAACTACATGAACTTGGCTTTTTTGAAGCATCCATGGGGGTGTCGTCAAAAATGGACTTTTGATCATCATCTTCATCTTCATCTTCAAGGCCATCCATGAGTTCCCAAGTGTTGATGACAGAGTCTGGGGACAATGACTGATCTAACTCTGTTTGGTTCACTCTTTTGGTGAGATTGGGGGGACATTCATGACAGTTAAAGTTGGGGTCTTTTTGGTCAGAGGGTTCAATCAGGATAAGGGAACCATAGGTGGTGGATGTGAGGGAGACAAGGTGGTGGGTATCACCCTTTTTGGTTGGAGGGTGATGGACAAGAGACATTGGCAGAGAGAGAGTTCTGGGAACTGGTGGTGAAGAATTGGAGAAGTGTGAAGATGTAGAATAAGAATAATAAGATGAAGCAAAAGAATTAGGAGAGTGAGAGTGATCCTCTGGGTTTTTGGACACTATGTTAACAGGTTTTGAGGCTGTACAGCCCATGAATAATGCTCTCAAATTGATTAATGGAAGAAATTGGTGTGTCCTGCCTCTACTTCTCTCTCTCTAAGAACAATGCCTTTTTCACCTACTCAAACTTTTGGGTGGTTTTGTTGTCTTCTTGGGAAGAACTTTGTGAAACAATGGTTGTCCTGTAGAGAGAGAAATAGCGAAAGAGGACTTAAGCGGTATTATTATTATTATTACTATTAAGATTCGCTTTTTTCCGAGGTTACTGCAGATAAGTTGTCTGCAGTAAATCTAATGCGACATTGTTTTGGAGCAGAAATCATGATGTTTTTGTAATTTTAATTTATTTCAGTGTTATTATAGTCTTTATAATTATAATTTTTTAATCTTTCAATCGTAAAATGATGTCGTTTTGGAAATAAATACAGATAACTTATATGCATTAACTGCAAAAATATTTTTCTGATATTATTATTATTATTATTATTATTGTTGTTGTTGTTGTTTTTCATATTATAAGAAATAATTTTATTTTCTATACATATAAAAGTATATGAGACTCATGTGAAGAGAGGAGAAAAAAAAAATAATATGGTCCTATATATTTTTATATATGTATAGAAGATAAAATTATTATTTATAATACGAGAGATATTAATCTCTTATTATTATTATTTGATTTGATGTTTTTATGTCATAAAAAATAAAATTATTTTTTATATATATAAAAGTGTACGAGTTTGATGTAAAATCTACGAAGAGAAGAGAGGAAAAAAAAAAAAAACATACGTCCCGTATATTATATCATAGTAAATAATTTTATAATATGAGAGATAAATCCGTTAATATGTGGGAACCTTAAACTTTTGAGGCTTAGGTGGAAAGCAAGACAAAAAGGAAAAGAATTGTATCGTGCTAGGTGAAAGAGAGCTTTCAAGTGGGTTAGATGAGGTACATCATTGGTGTCACATGGAGCACAAAAATCGGGGTCAGGAGCATTTTCTTAGAGTGACTAGTTAGTTGATAAGAGAGGATTTGGGGGCGGTTTAATAAGAGAAAAAAAGGATCAATGACCATTCGAAGATTTCTGTTAAATTTTTAGGGTATACATCTTCATATAGCGACATCTAAGCCTCTTTTTAGTGTATTTTCGGAAAGACCTATTTTCCTTTTCTTCTTTTTTTTCCTTTATTATTTTATGCGTGAGACCTATTTTCATGTGTGAAACACAATTTATTTGACTTTCCAGAAGGAGAACAGAACTTGGTCAAATTGAATTTCCAAATCTTTCATTCTTTAAAATAGTTACATATTCTTTCGGTTAAATTATGTATATTTCAAAAATGTTTCAAGCATAAATGATTATAAGGATATGTCCTGCATTGTTATCAAAAAAAAAAAAAAAAAAGGATATGTCCTGCATTAAACAAAAGATATGGTATTTATCCTTTTAAAAGACATAGAATTGTGTTCTTTTAAATAGGAGAAAAAGATAGACAATAAGAATTATGGAAGGGAAAGTGGATATTTTTTAATTTAAAATTAAAAATATCATCCTTTAAAATGATAAATATTTTTCCCTTAAACAAATTGAAAATTTAATATAATAATTAAGTCATGAAACTTTTCCTTTCAATAAGCCAGTGTCCCAATATAAATTGATCTTATTTAAATTTTTATTTGCATCCAAATAATATAAAAATGAAAGTAGTTTTACTTTTGACAATATCGTAAAAGACAAAGTAAAAATAGTATAATTATAAACGGAATTTATGCAGGTAAATTGGTACTAGCCAGTATATAAGATTTAGTGTAATGCTGATATCAAAGTTAATCTATTTTATTTCTGATAAGTTATTAAATATTTATAGCTTACTAATTCTCATAATAAACATTTATAATTAACATAGTATAATCAACAACTAGGAATAGTGACCAAAGTGCCACTCTTCTACAACTTATAGCTTCCACATACAACATTTATAATTAATGCTGCAGAGTTCGTTGGTGTCAATAGCGGACTACGTGTCCACTAGAAACGTGACACATCATCATACATAGTTCACTACTCCTCTGGGCGAACTTGCCCTCGTGACAGAGTGGTAAATTGCACTGTTGGCTTGGCATTTAGGGAAATAAGTTGTGGAACAGTGGCACTTTGGTCACTATTCCCAACAACTACGGGGATTATGTAATGTGCTGGTTGCAAATCGCAAGGCTAGCTGTAGCATTTCACCATGGTGTCATCAAGCATAAAGATGGAGCTCAACGGATAATATTATCTTATATAATATAATGTCAAATGCTGGATAATATTAAAATTTAATTAAGCCTTATACAATCAAGCCTTATACTATCAGGTCTTATCATATCATGTACACCAAACATGCCCTAAATGTCACAATCACTTTAAATGCAAGAATAAACCATGGTGGAACACAATTAGGGTGAAGCCATCCTAAGTCCTAAGAATTACTTTACGTGTGATTTCACCAAAATTCATTACTCCAAACGAAAGTTTTCACCTCCAATAAATATGAGAAATATGTTGGCATATCCCTTGCTATTGGATCTGAGTGTGGAGAAGGTTGAAGCCATGGCCTCGCTGCTTCAGTATATGCTACTCTACTAATGCAATTAAGAAACACATTGCAGTAAATAATGCAGTTTGTTCCATGATTAACACTCACAAACCAAACTTATGGAAATATATAATTTTTTGGTGACAAATACTTCATTACTTAATCTCAAACCTTAGGCCCCTTTGTTTTATCGAGAAATCCCAACAATTGACCAATTCTTACCTTGATTCACCAAAGGAAATAGGAAGAAAATTCTCCTCTTGGCAAAGAGCAAAGGCATGGATGAGAAAGGAAAAGGAAGAAAGGGGCAACAATGGGATGAGATAGAGGAAGAAGGAAAGTAATGATGTTTTTCTATCTTTTTCCTTTACCTTTTTCTTTTAAAATAGTTATCCTCGAAAAAGACAAGTTTAATATTTTCCTTTCTATCCAATATCAGTGTAGTTGCATCGGAACAGACAAGTTTTCTCAAATATGGATTGAATCAGGTTCCACCATATGGGATGAGTCCTGAACATACCTCCTTAATTGAGATACATGGAAACATCGTGAAGGATGGAAAACTAGGGAGGTGAAGCAAGCTAGTAGGCCAATGGTCCTACCCTACGCAAAGATCCTAACATACTCCTGTAATGAAAGTTAAAATGAGTGTACCTTATCATATAAGGTACACGCTCATGATGGTGAAAAACAATTTTTTTTTTATCTTTATGCTTTGTTGAGGAATTCGTAAACTCTTTTACGGTCCCCATGAGTTGCCTTAGGATCTACCTGTTAAAAAAAATGGGGTTTAAAGGTTATACCTTTCACTTAAAGACTCGAAATGTATAGCCCCTTTTAATGGTGATCCACACTATCATCCTTCAATGGCATGTGAGAACTCCTTCTTATTGATCCCTCATTCCTCGGTAGCTTGCTAGCAGAATGCAAAGTTCAAGCCTATCAAGTGTTTGTTTTATTTTTTTTAAGACTACGATTGTTGTCTTGAGGACAAGTGGGACACAATAATGGAGGATGTGATGGTTGAATGGGGCGGCCAAGTGTTAGGGTTTCATGAAGCAAGGGACCTATATGATATCATCAAAAGAATGAATGAAAGTGGCGCATGGATAGCCCACTTTAAATTGGGATTAGCCTTTAATTTAAATCCCATTTAATTGGTTTATCTAAGAGGATTTTCTGATTCATCTTGGATTTGCCCTTATCATGAAGTTGAAAATCTTTTATCCATATTCAAATTCATAATTCAAATGACCAACCAAATGAGCTTCTTGAAAATTCAAATTCAAATGGGTTCAAGAAGCTCCCCATTTGAATTTTTCCCCAATCATGAAACTGGAAAACTTTTCTCCACATTTGAATTTTTCGAAATTCAAATGTCCTATGGAACTTTAATGAAGATTTGAATTCAAATGAGTTCTAGAAGATCCTATTTGAATTTCGATCTTATCCATATCCACTCTTGATTGTTGCTTCATCAACAACTTCGTAATTCAAATGATTAAATTGTTTCATGAAGTTTTATCCAATCCATATTGGATAATGCTTCATTTAAATTAGATAATTCTCATAATTATCTAATAGATGATTCATAATTATCCTTAACCACTTACTGATAGAAATATTTTACCCTGGATCATGTATATGATTATAAAATACTTAAACAATATGAAATCAAAGTTGGGATTGTGTGTACCTTATTGGATCGTCACAAAGTCGAAAGATTGAAAGGACTACATGCCAGATCTTCCTCTCTATCACCTATTTCGATAAAGGCAGCCTCAGCGATGGGAGCATGATGGCTTATGGAGCTTAACTCCAATATTTATAGGCTAGAGAGGGGACCTAGCTAATAACCTAGAAAAAAGTCTGTGTCCACTGGGTCCACCCATCATGGAAAACCAGGGTCACACTAAAGCCTACACTGCTGCCCAACTAGGCCCAATAACAACAGATGCCAGAAGCCCAATTCAATGTGATCACAATGAGCTAGTTACAATAATAATATTGAAATATCCATTAACTCGATTAATTTTAAATACAAAACTAATTAATTAATATTGCCCATAAAATAAATTTCTAACATTCTCCCACTTGGGCTATATTAATTAATTTAATATTATTTTGAAAATCATTTTATTTCGAAAACGACTCTATCGGGTTAATAACTAAAAAATAATTTTACGTGGCCACAATTTTGAAAAACAATATTCCAATTTCAGCATCTCAACACAATTCAATCCAACATAATCTCCTCATAGGAATATGGCGATCAATATACCGAAAATATCATAGCATATGACCTTCCATACTCACATACAATGAGTATTATATCTTCATGAATCAAGGCCTAGTAGTGTAGTAAGAATTAGTGCCAAAATGTGATCAACAATGTGACACACTAATTCTTATCGGTCCTCAATGTAATTTCTCAACAACATGAAATTACAT